TACACGCAGGTAAAAATTAAATGCATTACAAACTATATCTAACATAATTCACTTGTTTACAACTATATGAGAAGCATTGCTATTAACTCGGAGTATTCACATGCTTAAAGAATCCACATTAGCTTGAATAGAACAATATCATTTATGACTAAAATTTAATTTATGAAAGGCAACATGCAGAAATGCAGTTGAACAAAAGAAGCAGGAACACAAATTTACATTATGACAGAACGCATTTCCCAATGCTGAAAAGGAGTATATAGATTTCCAGATTTCGACTTCCCCAATCACCCTAACCCCATTCCGTGGGGTGATAACTTAAACATTCCAACCTATTTCAAGGAAAATAAGAATACATGAACTTTGCACTCAAAAGCGCTATTTTTAATATCCACAATGATTCGCTTTACTTTGATAGCACATAGCAAGGACACTGTAGCCTGACGTGCAACAGTGATACACTCAGAAGAAATCCTATTATTATCATTAATTCCACAATCACCAGTGCAGATTTCATAGAGTTCGAAACAGAGTACACAAACTTTTCCAATTCCTATAATTCACCAATATGAGAAAGAACAGAAAGCTAAATATAAATCATCCAAGATTTGCATAAATCCATATTCTAATTTATTTTCATGTCAGATTTCGTAATTCTGATAACAAGTACAAGCAAACAAACATTCTCAATTTCTCCCATCCTTAAATAAAGGATTCTGGCTATCAAATGATATTCAAATACCTTTTGAGGAAGATGAATGATAAATGGATTGTATAATTTATGTATAGCAGTCGCTACAAATGGTAGAAGATTAGCCTTAATCTGAGTCTACATTTGAATTTTCTTACATACATTTGATGGCAACTGTGTTCCCATCATGCTTCCTCACTGCTCTGTAAACAGTGCCATACCCACCTGCCAGTTGCGGTTAAAAGGTAACTATCAATTAACGCACATAATATGATATGGCCAGAAAATGAAGAACTATTCCACACCTGAGCCTTCTTCCTCTTCAACAATATACGAATCAAAGCATGGAAGGTCTTTGGATCCCACTCGATCCTGAAAATAAACCATCAATAGATCCTATTAATAAAAATGAAGACAACTAATACTAGCCAAGTTATTCTCAGTAAATTAGCTCCATTTAGAACACACTATTGGGGTATACTAAACAAGTGCACGAGTAAAGCATATGGACATAGAATTTGCAGGAGTCGAGCTTACCTTGGGAGAAGTAAGGGCACAATCCTTCTTTCTGTCTTTAGTATGAATATCATTGCATGCCTGCTTTGATTTTTTTGCCATGCTGATTTTCATGTGATCTTTTTTCCTCTGCTGGTTTTCTTTGGGAGGAATAACAGCTTTCCTTTCCTCTAGGGACTGGCAGAGTGCTTGCTGTCTCGGAGACAAAGCAACACTAGTAGTGACCCTAATCTTGGTGGAAGGTTTTGAGTCTTTTGGTAAATACTTTGGAGAAACACAGAGCTCAGTAGTTGTAACCTTAGCCTGATTTTTCGTATGGGTAGTTACTGCCTCTTTATCCAGAGAACTCTGCTCATTCATCCTTCTGAAGTTGCTTTCTTGTGGCATATTAAAAACAGTATTAGTTGGCTGAAAATGGTTTATGCCTTCCCCTTCCATTTTACCATAATCAATTAACAATTCTTCCTTGGTTTCAGTTCTTACAGTTTCAATATGACAGTCATTTGTAGCATTACAAGCACCATTAATACTCGTAAATTCCAATGGTAGTAGGCTGCCCCACTTGACATCATCCAAGCAACATTTGGCATTGACATCTATTCTACTTTCAAGATCTATCTCATCCACTTTGGCTTCTTGGAACACAGCTTTGTTATCCAACATTATAATGGGAAGAGCAGACTCTTCATCAAGCTCACATGCCATGATTCTCTTATCCTCCTTGCTTTTCACAATAGCCCTCGTATTCGTCTCATCTTCTACATGTTCGATATTCCTTGATTTACAACCTACTTCGCCAGATAAGGTTTTAACAGAAAAGTCAGGTGCAAGAATGACGTTATTTGGCTGGCTTGGCATGTAACTTAGCTCAACATTAATACTGCTGCTGACATCCTCAGTTAAGAGAAAAGGTAGCTGCAAGATTTACAAATAACACATCTCATAAACAAGGGATTTTGCTGGGTTGTTTATAAGAACCATGTTACTTAGCTCCAGAAAAATTATCATTTCATCGATTCTTCTTTTTGAACAGGAACTACTTTCGCCATTTTGAATATTTTAAGAAAGATTTCACAAGTTCCTAACAAAAATCCCAAACGCTTGCTTTGCAAACACAAGGGTCAAAGAGAAAGTCTGAAACTATTTTCAGGCTCTGTGATGGCTATAGTAAATTGCTATAATAAAGCAAATAAAAGTTATTGTTAATAGCTCAATCTGTCCTTATACAATCAGGTAATTCTTCAATTTGTCCTTATATCCCTAATTGAGTCAATTTTATGATTAGATATAGTTTCTAATCTATCTTTCTAACAAGATTTTTTTTTTTTTCAGTCTAAACCACCAGAATTAGTCACGTAATTTGCACATTAAAGCCTTCCATTTGTCTGGCTTACAAAAACATTTTTGGAATAGAAATAGTCATGTGCAAATCAAGTGACAAATTCCGATGGTTTTGGCTTGAAAATCTTGCTAAAAGGATAGATTAGAAACCTAAAGTATATTCAAGGTTCAATTAAAAATATAAGGACAAATTGGAGAATATAATAAGGATAAATTGAGCCATTAACCCGAAAACTTAATTACTGTGAAATTGTAGATTTTAGCTCAACTAGAGGAAAAAAGGTGCGTGCAAATTGCTCGAATTCATAATTACGTAAACCAGTTGAAGAGTTACCTTCTTGCAACCATTCCGAATTCTTTTCGACAAAGGAGAAACTTCTTGATCCTTCTCGCACACTGCAAAATAGCACCACCATAATTCAATAACCTAACAAAGCCAATGATCATAAGAGCCAAAAATAAAACAGAAATTTACCATCTGCAGAATCAAATCCAATTCGCTTCCGTTTCCTGAAATACATCCTCACAACATCCTCAAAAGGAACCTTACGCCCGCAGATTGCAGTCCATATCCGATCAATTTCGCTGAAATTAGATAGGAAATGATTCAAAGCGAAAAAACCAGGTCTAGAAATGGTAACCAGGAAGCTGTCGCTACTGTCATGGTTGAATGTCAAAGCGATTGGTGAGTTAGGGATTGAGCAGAGAGATTCGATGAGATCCGGTGAAGCATTGAAGAGAGTGCAGTGAGATGAAAGCTCTAGAGCAGGAGTTGGTTTGCCGATTGAGAGGAGGAGAGCGAGGATGTGCCATGCCTTCTCTTGTAAATCGGACTCGGTGGAGGTGGTGGTGAGTGAGTCGATGAGGACCATTTGCGTGTTGAAGGAGTGAGTTTGCATAACTTGTTTGAGTGGTGAGAGAGAGAGAGCGTGTGTTTTAGGGTTTGGACATCGATGGATTTGCAGAAATGTGGAGAGAGGAAGAGGGAGGCGCGGATTTGGGAGTTTTGATTTTTTGAGATTTGGCACGTGATAGTTTCCCGCCAGTGTTTTACTCACGAGTTTTTTTTTTTTTTTTTGCGTGTAATTATTCGGCGTATTCGGTAATTTAAGGGACTCGTAAATTAATGGCAGATTTATATTGAAAAAGATAAAGTAAGAAATGAGAAACTTTTCAAATATGCTATATATTTTTTAAACATTTTAAATAAGTTAAAAGAATTGCATTTTATTACACGACATCTGAGGTAATGAGTTTCATAGGAAAATGAATAAGAATTTGGAACACAAGAATGCAAGAAGGAAGTTTAATAAACAAATTAAATCCAAGTTCAAGACTCTAAATTCAACTTTTGAACAAAAGTTATGATATCAAATATTCCAAAGAATTTATCTGAACAAAAAAGAAAATGTCTAAAAAGCTGGGAGAATGTTTATGGAAGTTGTTTTTGTATCCTAAACTAAAGAAAATATTAAAACAATATTTTTTGCTCTCGAAGACATTAGGAGTTCCTGCTGCCATGAGCTGTTTGGAAATTTTTGTTCAATTTTAAGGGAAAAGGAAAATGAAAGAAAACTTATTGAATCCATTTTTAAGTTACATGCAAAAACAAACGTAATTCAAATATCAAATTAAAATCAGTCTGTTTCAGCAATGCAAATACCACATACAAATCATGGTCCCTTCCCACCTTGAAGTGCAGATACGGAGAAAATCTTTTAAAAACGAAATCTTTGAAGTTAAAAGTGTACAGACATTATCTCAAAACTATTATATATATATATATATATATATATATATATATATATCCAGGACACCAGATTCATAAATGAAGAAAACTTTCCCAGCCTTCGCCATCAAGTAACAAAAACTTAATCCCATAAAATAACCGAATATTCCTTTCAAAGGTACATTCCATAAAATTAACTTTGTCCCCGTATTTTAACAAAAGAAAGAAGTATATAGTAATTTCTCTGTCCAACATATACAAAAGCATTCTACTCAAATCCAAAATTCAAATTTAAGAGAGGGGAACTGCCAAACTCAATTGCCTAAATATGCGAGGTTGAAGCAGACGGCACCACTCTGGATGCCAAGACTTGATTCTCCGTGAAAAATATGCCGCCAACATCTAATAGTTGCCCCAAACCCAGCCACAGAATATGTCGACTTATTATTGTTCGAGAAAGGTCCAAAATAAATTTGAAATGCAAATTTCTAAACCATGCGAAGAAAGATTTCATAACTGCAGCAGAATATTTACCAAGTCGCTAACAGTAACATATCAATGAAATGAAAATATATTTGGCCAACTGACAAATTTGCAATAACAAATATACAAAAAAGGAGGGAGGAAATAGATCGATGTCCTTTCCATACAACAGAACACCAGAGATTATACAGTAAAATAGACGATAAAATTTTGTCTCCTAAGCTTATTGATGGTGTCAGGTCATTCAGTAGACGGTGATGCCAATGAGAGGTTCAAGAGGAAGCCGACCATAATTCCAGTAAGTCCAACCACAAATGCAAACATGAGGGAGAAACCTGCATCACTTTTTCGATATCTTCGTCTCCTGAGCAAGTCCTGCAGGAAAGAAAGCTTACGTAAATTGCTGCAAAGGTTTTTGTTCTCAAAGAGAAAACACCTAAATTATCCCTGGTGTTTTTAGTTGTTCAGTCATCCAATAAGCTCTTTTTACATTTTCAAGATCTCATAGGGGCCGTCAGATGACAGATTCCATGCCTACAAGTCATCTAATTAAAAAGGTCCTGCCCTGCTTCATTTCAGTTGCACTATCACATCTGATCAAGCATTGCCTGCAAAAGTCCATTTAAGGATCCTCAGGAATGGTGGAATCCATACCAGCTAAGCAAAGGTTTGAGTAGACTTCCCACAGTAGTTATTTGAGGCTAAGGCACTTCTGGGAGGTGGTAAATGATAACCATAAATAATTTCTGCATGGTTACTAGGAAATCAGCTATTCTAGCACAAAAACCACAATTTTCCAACAGTATCAGTATACCACTAAAGAAGCATATTTAGGTAAGCAATATCCGAGAAGCTAAGTAATAGTGCCGGTTGATAAAGTCTCGGGCTTGCTATAAGGGCACAGGTTTATTCGAGAGAACAACCACTTAAATGCCAAAATGGTAGGAAGAAAACTAGCTCCAAATTCTCAGTCCAGCGATAACAACTTGGTAATGACCTTTTTAACAAGGAAAAACAAAACAAATAATAATCAAATAAACCAGCTGAAGCACAAAGGGTACTAACCAGTTCCTGCTGCAGCACCTGAGTTTGTTGAACAGCTGCATCCCTTTCATCCTTCAGGCGCTGTACAGCCTGATTCAAACATAAAACAGAATACTTAAAAAACTAATATGCATGCGTGTGTACATGTGAATGTGCATGCACACAAACACACACACCAATCACACGCACGCACATATATATATAAACCTTGTTTAAAAATTGAATTCAAGGATATGCTCATATGCTTTACTGCAAAACGCATGGTACAGAAAGCAAACTTACAGGATGAAGACAGTTATAAACAAGATCAAGTTACTTTGTGCATGTTGAATAACATGCATATATAGATGTGTTTCCTTTGAGTAGTTAAGACTGACAATTCAATACAGTTATTCACGATTTTGGAGAATCAACGAAGGAGCCCAATTCTAGCATATTCAACTGAAAAGCAATAAGGGCAGCCACATACAAGGACCAGACCAATCAAAACTGCAGTAACATTATACCAGCAACTATTTATGTAATATGACAAGATGGCACTCACAACTGCAAAATAATCATGCTTTTGTTTTAGTGATGATAATATTTATTTAAATGCAAATAATAGATGGTTCATATGTTTAATCAAGTTTTATTTCATCATCATTTCCAAACACCTTTTGGAGCATCTTAATCAATCTCATCGGTTGCTAAGGAGCAGTGTGTCTAAACTTGTTCAACTCTCAGTTTAGGATTAATAATCAGTATACTTCACTATTAAACCTTTGCGAAGAGGTCAATATGAGATTTTCAATCCATCTAGTACTTTCTTAAAGGAGCTTTTAGTTTCCTTGGTGATGACTGTTTTCTTTAAAAAAAACTTATCAAGCAATGAAGCATGATGTGCAACACCAACTTGAATGAAGTCTGTCAAACTCCTGAGATATGAGTGAAACTAAGTCCATGCAGGTGAACTAAAATAACCGTACCTACCAAAACAATAAAACTCACAGAGTTAGCATCAGGACTCTGTGTAGAGCCCTTCAACACTTCATCTTCTGAGTTTCCTTCAGTTGACGAAGGAGGGATGTATACAACTCTAAGCTTCATCTCCTGTATTGCCTTGCCATCACTATCCTTATTAAACTGGCAACAAAATCAAACATCATTGTTCAAAATATAATTTCATTTCAGAAAGTCAAGCTAGTGAAACATGAATAACTTTTCTTATTCAAGTTAACACCCTTACAGTATCTGGTGGGAGCTCATCAACATCAGAATGTGGAGGCACTATGGTACTCTGTAAGAGAAACTTATCTTTGCATTGCATGTCTGGAGGATATTCCCGTTGGGCTTGAAGGGTAACTGAAAATCCAGTAGTTTGTGAACATCAAATACATTCTAACCAATAAAGAATATTAAACTATGCGTTGGCTGGCAGCCTGGCACAAGGCAAACAAACAAATTCCATATACTGGTCACACATAAAATTAGATGATTGGTTTTTCTTTTATTTCAACAGGTGAAAGGAAAAAAAAAAAAAAAAAAACAATTTGAGGCTGTTAAATGATCACCTAATAAACATCTCACAGATGGCTGGTTGCCATTCTACTCACATCTCTGATGTGAGAGAATTGTAATCTTTAAGTGGACATCAAACATAAGTTTGCATTTGACTAAAGAATTCTAGGTTTAAAAGGATATGGAAGTCCTACAAAAATATTGTGACTGGGTAACAAGTAGCACCTCTGATGACACAAGAGTCCCAAGGCTGTATAACACCAGTGTTGGGCCTCACAAAGTACTTCTTAGGTGAAGTGGTTTTAACCTGACAAAAAGCGGAGTGCGACAAAAAATGAGATCTTGAAAGGCTGTATAATGCACAACAATATGTTTGTATATTCCATGAGGTGATTAAGAAAGTACCTTAAAAGCAACATGGTTCTCTGTGTTATTCGCAACTTTAAGATCGCAAAAGCTTTGCTTTTCCAGCTCAACTGATTACATATATAACATACTGATAAGTCCAAATGAACTGCATTAAGGAAAATCAATCTGAAAGTTTTATAACAAACATGAATTTTTACACTTTCAAAGGGCATCAACATTTTCAAGAATACAACTTATAAGATTCAAATTTAGGAAATTAGCATTAACATTTGCATCAATTAATCATACTTCATGCCAGCAGATATTTTCCACGGATCTGTTGGCTAAATGATTTCATTTCTATCTTATAACATTCTTTTGTTTTTGACCAAGCATGTCTCCTTACTTCAGCCAATCAAGTTGGGTTCCTATAGTTGAAGTATGTCTTCTATGCCGACAAAGCTTTCAAGTTCCAAGAAAAGTGGATCAGATCCAGATTGGTTTTTAGTTAAATTGTGCTTCCATAAACTTGATCTTCTTTAAATCCCCACCCTTCCTCTTTAAACAACTAATCATCTTTACTGTGTTGTGAGAGATATCACTTGGATGCCAGGCATCTGGCTCATTGATGCAGACGAGTTAAAAAAAAAAAAAAATTAATAACAGGTTAGAAGTAGAGCATGCTGCTCGGGGCAATAGTCAAATATTAGGCTAGAAATCATAAGATGCATGCAGGTTTGAGACTTTAGAGCAGCCACATGATGCAGGAGTGCCAATACATAAACTTCTTTCTTTTCTCCATCCAAAGATCCCACTCGAGTAACAACATAACTGATCAATGGTCTCTTGGAAACATATGATGAGAAAAATTTTACTGTATGTAATGTTGATAGCTCTCAGAGAGATTGGAGAGCTTCCTTAAACACAGCAAGAAGCCAATTTTGCCAATCAGAGGAATGGACTGTTCATTATTCACTGTGACTCTTTTCCCAAGCTTTACCAAGAGAGAAGAAAACATATAACATAGCATCCATGAAAGGATCATGCCTAAGTTGGGGATTTGTAAAGAATAAATGTGATTGATAAGTACCTAAAACTGTGATGGCAAAGGGAGTTTTACAGCTCCATAATGAGCAAGAACTAGAATTACAAGTTTGGGAGGCGTTATAGTGTCAGTTAAATCACTTCTCTAGTTTATTACATATCCGAAGCAAGTCAATTAAAATATTACCACCAATACTGAGTTAATATTGAGCAATAAACATTCATGGTTTGGCAAGAATAATTCCTAACAAAAAATTTGAAGCCACTTATGCTAAGATTATCCATCATTCATAATCATTCATCCTGCTAAGTCTGCAAGTACATTTCATATCATGCTTCTGAGTCAGTACTCATCACTAAAATATAAACTCAACCAAAGGCAATCCATCAAATTACACATCAACAGTAAATGATAACAACTGATTTTTCTTTTTCTTTTTCTTTTCTTTTTTTTTTTTTTTTTTGTTGTTGTTGCTATTTTTGACATATAATCACACAATTCAATTAAACATTGGTATTTTATTAGTGATTTATTCTCATAATCTCTCTTCCTTTACATGTATTACTTTCAAATCGAATCATGTATTGCAAGGGAACTAATTCAGTAATCTCTGCCATGGAAAATTTGACAAAAGGCCATAAAACTTCCCTGAAGGTCTAAAACTGCTAGTAGAACAAGCGCTGATTACAGAGTTAACCAATTTAGTAATACAAAAACCAGGTGGGGTTTCACAAAAGTTTTTTTTTTTAAAAAAAAAGCAAATTAATTTTCTACTAAACTTTAAAATGTCTTCACAAACACTCATGGAAGGGTTAGGCAATACCTGACTGCCAGAAAAGTCGTATTCCATTTAATAACAATGGCATTATTAATAAGAGAATCCCAATTAGTCCCATATCAAGAGCCTGATGGATTCCGAAAGTAAATCAAATAATGATTCACTTTCTACTTTAAGCGCTAAGCAAAGCACACAAGCTTTAATATCACAGTTAGCCCTCTCCTCCATCAGCATAATAGTTGAGAATCCCTACGAATCACACCACCAAATCCATCCTTCACTCCCAAACACTATTCATATAAAAAATCCTTATGAAATATATCCATGGCAATATCATATACTACAAGAGGCAGTAGCTAATTTTGTAAACCTTTGTTTCGCATGATCCTCGCCCCTCTCTATCAAATCCTCGGAAAATCGATGCTATTTGATATTACACCTTTTATACAGGTAATCGGTTGCTGATTTCAAACCATTGGAGAAACCTTACAACTTAATCTGCTCTAATTCGCCAGTTAAACATGAATTAGTAGCATTAAATATAAGGAATTTTAATCTCCTTGCCAGAAATGATCCATAAATTATATTCCGATGCGAGAAATTAAATACATAAATAAAGAAATTAAAATTGTTACTTGAAAAAGAAAGAAAGATGCAACGAACAAAGTTTAAATTAACCAAAAAAAAAAAAAACACACACACACACAGAGTAAATGTATACATGCAGATTCATATAGAGAGAGAAACTTACAAATGAACTTGAGGTCATCTGGATGTACAGAGATCAACTGATTACTATCACCAGCAGTCATATCGGCCCTACCACCATTACCAAATCTCAGAATATTCCACAAAAATTCCAAATCAAATCAACCAAATGAACACAAACTACAAATAAAAGATTATTCACCTTTAAAAGAACACAAAAAAAACTGCCAAATCAATCGAAAAAATTAAGTTGAAAAAGTGGAGATAGATTAAAAAAGAGAGCGAGCGAGAGAGAGGAAAAAAATAGTAAAGAAAACTAACATGTGGTTAAACGAATGTGGAGGATTAGTTAAAAGCAGGGAGTGAATAAATGGCTCGAACTTTTAGGCACCAATTTCGGCTTTTTTTTTTTTATCGGTTAAGGTGGTCCGCTCTCACTGATGCGCTCCGTTAAGAGAGTGAAGCAAGAACCTGTCTGTTAAAAGGAGAGGGGGAGAGAGAATTTGATAGAAAGGGACGGTAGTTTGGTGTTTTGGTGCATCCTGGAATCAGAATGGCAGAGCTTTCTTGCTTCTTCAATAAGAGAGAGAGAGTGATGGAACTGACACGTGTATCATAAAAAACCGAGTTTGGTTCTGCTCAAAACTCAAAAGTAAGTTTTGGAGATCCCCAGACTGGAATTGGGTGCCCATGACGTGTCACTTCTAAAAGCTTTTATTTATTTACTCATTTATTGCTTTAGTGGCTTCAACTTGGATTAAACAATTTTTTTAGTAGTAGCATTTATTTTTAGGTAGTGAGGCATTTTCACACCGTCCTGCCTCCTTTGCGGAAGAAGAATGACTTTCTCATACAAGAAAACAACGTAGTAGTTTTTAATGCTTTGTTTTTGTCCACAAAAAAAAAAAAAAAAAGGAAAAAAAGAAGAGGTTTTTAATGCTTTGTTATAGAACAGAAACAGCTGCTTTTGTATCTTACTTTTTATCGTTTGTTAAATGTTTACTGTAAATTGGTAACGTAATGACCCCCCCCCCCCCCCCCCCCCCCCAACCCCCCCAAAAAACAAGACTTCTGCAATGCTGTAATATCAATCAGAGAGAAAATAAACCACGGCATCTCAAATATCAGTACTTTCCCCCATGAACACACTACCATTAGAACAAGACGGAACGTAGAAGCAATCGAATTCAACATTCACTCTTGAAATGGATCATCCAAGAAGAACAATATCGTAATAGATCTTCAGTTATTTTCATCAACCTTTTGGACCGATCATCATCACATGTTTATTGGCTGATTACCACTATCTATCTAAAACCGTTCAGAAAATAAACCGTTATTTATGGAGCCATGAGAAAGGAAATCGGAATGAACAGAAAAGAGCAAGGAAGAAACTTGCAGAAGTGAGAGCCATTAGGGCTCACATCAATGATCGAACCATTTAAGTGTTACTCATGCATGCAGCAAAAAACATATAGCCAAACTAGCCAAGACTAAAAGCACAACAAGAAAAGATAATTCTGTTATCTGATGATATTATACAATATGCTTAAATCTGCACTCTTTTTTGTGTTCAAGTGGGGATAAAAACTATCCGGAGACACCTAACTCGCCTTTTGGTATGAAAGTTTGGTGAATCAAGTAAACCTATTCTTCAAAACTTAACAGCTAGAACAGGCATGATAAGATGGTTGTTAGAATAAGCATTGCCGTTAGCAGAACAGTTTCAAAGAGTTCCAGCAAACTTCTGAAACCATTTCCGTTACTTCACCAGGTGCAGTAGCTCCACAATGCTTTTCTGATCGATTTAAGCTTCTTTTATTACACTTCTTTTGCTCAATGCCTCCGGTTTAACCTTTTTAATTCTTTGGTCAATCTTCATTCGGGAGAGGATAGCACGAGTCATCCAACAATTGCTTGTTCATGCATCAGATGTGTAACAAACTGTGGTGGAATTTTATTTTTTTCTCTGTTCGAAGGTTATTCTAATGCATTTATTGTGATCATGGATAAATCTCTGTAGATACATAAAAAACCTGTTACTTATCTCCAATAATATTCCGTCCATAAGGTAACAAGGAAAGACCAATCAGCTTTATAGATGAGAAATGGATAGAAGGATCAAAATTCTTTCAAATAAACCATTAGAACAAAGGATAAAAATTGAAAGTAGGCCTAGTCAGCCTAAAAAGACCAATCCAAACTGCTGGCAACAGTTGACTAAAAATGAGGCATATTGGGGTTCATCCCACATAAAGAGTTCGCCCACATCATAATAACCAGAGCTTCTTGTATCATCACTTCCGAACGCATAAAACAAATAGCTGCGTGCTCGTGCACGTGTTCATGCTGATATGCATACATTTGAAGGCAATGAAATTCATCGTACCAATGAAGGATGCAAATATATATATATATATATATATATATATATATAGAGAGAGAGAGAGAGAGAGAGAGAGAGAGAGAGAGAGAGAGAGAGAGAGATCAAATGCACATTCTGTAATTTCCCACCCAGATAAGACAGAATTGCAGCAAAGGCATCAGAAAATACTATAGCCTGAAATAATTGGTACAAAATCTGAAGCATTGTAGTCTCATGTTTTGCATGTCAATTGTGGTGTACATTAATTTTTCACAAAATGAAAGAGAAATTCAGTTCTTACAATTCTCTGCTATATCCGTTCAGAGGAGAAAAGGACCAAAGAATGACAGTATCCATGTTTTCTCATTTAAAAGTGGAAAATCTGGGAAGCTTGTCCCTTAGATAATACAATCTTGCCCTCCTAACCTTCCTGTGCTTGATTAGCTTTATCTCCTTGATATTTGGCGAGTAGCTGTGGTAGTAAAAGAACTCGTTAATCATGTCACAACAGCTATTTATTGAACCAGGAAAATTATGATCTAACAGTATGATAAACACAGTCAAGAGAAAACTTCAAGATACTGGTGTTATGGGGGCAAGGAAATGTGTTAGAAGGATCTTGATCATGATCATGAATCTATATACTTGCTTGGAATTGGCTTATCTCTTGGCATCAACAGGCTGGATGAGAAATATATTTCTCAAATCAAAAGCAGGGGAACGTCTAACTTACTGCTGCTACTGTTTTCACAGGTCAATGACTGATTTTATGAATAGTTGTCCCAAGTGAAGATGCACTAGATCTTTCAGAATGTTTATCTTATTGTGGATCACATAACAAGCGCATTAAACCCTTAAGTATGAACAAAAATTAATAACAATAATAACTTCCAATATTTATAGTGTCAAAACATTCTTAGATTCATTTAGCATTTCAAACAAATATAAATTGTATTATACACATATACTGAATAATAGTCAGCACGCATTATATAAACCAGTGCTCTCATCCAAAGGAATGACAGTAATAGTGCAATCACAGGTTTCATCTACCGACTTACACAATAGTTATTCAACTGATAAGATCATCTACGCAAACCAAAAAAATAGCCAACATAGAATTATAGGACAAGGTGAAAGGAGTACTCACATTGGGAATACGATCTCAACTCCTATGCCAGCAATAATCCTCCGAATCCTAATTGTTGAGTGGATACCAGCATTCTGCTTAGATATGACGATGCCTTTGTAAATGGAAAGCCTTCGCCTATTTTCAGGAACTTCCTGCAAATCAACCACATAAAATCACACCTCAAAAGAATTCCATTTCTCCACAAACAGAACATCAACAATCTAATGAGAACAGTAGTAATAATTACAATAAAAAGAAGCAATTACCAATTTGATCTCCACTACATCCCCGGTCCTTATATCGGGAATCGGCCTTTCCTTCTCTGATGCCTCTACAGCTCTCTTATTCAAAATCTGCTCCAATAAATCAATGAACAAAAAAATTAAAACAAAAGGCAATTGTTCTTAACATAATTACTACAAAAGCAAACACAAAACAGAATAAAGTAAGTACCCCAATTATCTCTCCAAGCTGAACTCGAGGCTTTCTGGGTTCTTTCACTGCTACTTCAACTTCAGCTTTAACTTCCTCTTCTTCACTCCCTTCTTCAGCTACTTCTTCATCAACATTCTCAGTTTCTTCCACAACTTCTCCACCTCCAGACTCCGACTCCGCCCTAGTTACAAAACTCTGCCTCGCAAAGGCCTTCACAATTGCGTCAAGATTCGAACTAAATGACGTTGAAGAAACCCTAGAGGCTGAAACTCTACTAAAAGAAGCCGAATTGGAAAGATAGGAACTGCGATTGATTGTTGAAGAAAACCCTAATTTCTTTGGAACAGGAAATTGAGTAGGATTTCTGGGTATCCCAGCAAATGCCTGCAAACATACAGAAAAATAAGTAAAAAAAAATAAAAATAAAATCGTATAAATATGCGAAATGTGTTTGTTTGTATAGTGATGGAGAGGGAGCACCTGCGGGAGAATTTTGGAACCCATGTTTTGAGAGGGAAAACTGTAATAATAGTTGAAGGGAGAGGAAAATTAGAGAGAAGGCATGTTTTGGTGTGCTGGTTTCAGTGGAAGGAGGATTGTAAGCATAGGATTGCCTTATCCGTTGAAGAAGCGGGAGTGTGCGTCAGGTTGTTCTATTCCTTGCACACGTGTAAGAGGTACTTGGTCTATTGGGCTCTCAATTGCGTTAATGGTGAGAACCCAATTGAGCTTCAGATTTTAAATTTGGGCTAATCCTAAAGCTCGTTTGATTTGGGAAATGCTAGTGGCTTTTCAAACATATATAAACGTGAGATCTATCTTGCTTTACTTTTTATATAAGAGAAAAAACAATATATCATAAATAACTAATAATTATCTAACCCAAAAAAAAAAAAGTTGATATTCAAATCATATGATTGTATCTACACAAAAAAAAAAAAAGAAGAAAAAATCAGTGTTTAAGATGACTAATGTTATTCATAGATAATTGTATTATAAAATTTATTTAATATACAAAATATCGATTTAATTATGAAGAATAAGATTTCCTTTAAAAATATATCATATAAGACAATTACGTAGAAATAATATTATTCAAAATGAAATATTAAAATATTTATTTTGTATAATAAGATCGTGTAAAATGTGTCATTAAAGAAAAGGAAAAAAAAAAGCAAAAAAGCAAAATGTTCCTTTAACAATTGATCCGAGGCAATTACTTCCTCAATAAGATTGGACGAAAATCAAACAATACAATCAGATTCTTAATTTAATCGAAAGAGTAATTACATTCTGGTTAATTTGTTTGAGTTATTTTTATATTTTAGGGCTTTGGGAACCTTTTAAACAAAAGAATCTGTACGAATTATAAGAATGTGAACGAGTTTTCGTAGTTGGGTCGTAAGTTAACAAATCTTTCCAATGAAATGATTACATAGCTCAGTTAAAATCCTTTTGTAAATTTTTTTAGCGATCCACCAGAGCTCTGGAAGTTAGATAGCAAATTATCTAAAAGTGATATTGATTGTTATTAATATTATTATTTTGAAGAATCGGGGAGGAGAAAATGGAATTCGAATTAGATGAAGTTAGCAATTTTTACAATTATACAGTAGGTAGAAAATCACCGAAGTATGATGTGGAAATTATAAATGGAATAGTGTGTGGTTGATGAATTGTTCAATTCTGTGGTGTAATTCTTGAACTTAAATTCTAAATTTATAAATTTATAAGAGATTATTGCGTCAGGACATCCTACTTTAGCGAAAAGCCACATGCCTCACGCAAATAAGAAAGGGTCCTGCGTAAGCTTATTGACCGCTTTTTAGGACTACTCCCTATCTCTCTCTCTCTCTCTCTCGCTGTCGTCACTGTTGACTGCGTGGCACCCAAGCACGCATCATTCCACTTCCTGCTCCCAAATCACACCACGTGCCCTCCGTTTCTTTCTACACCTTGTTCTTCTTTCATTGCTCTCTCTGTCCTCTCCCGCCATTCTCTCCCTCCCTCTGGACCCTCTCCTTTCTCACATAGCTGCTCTCTCTCTGTCTGTCCAGGAGCAAAGCTTGAGGAAACCTTTACTCTCTCTCACATCAAGTCTCTCCCTCTCGACTTTCGAACTTAAAAGGATTCAACAACTAAAGCTTGATTCTTTCTGGAAGCTGAAATTTCTTGAAAATGTTGGCTCTTTTTCTTGTGAATTCGGTCTTTATCGATCATTGATTGCTATTAAAACAAAATCTTAATTCTTGTTAGGAGTATGTGACTCTTTTTCTTGTAATATACTTACTATTGTTTTTATCCATAGCAATATCTGTTTTCTTTCTCGGAGAATGTGGTAGTAGCTAGCATGTTCTTTCTTGGTTTAGTGGTTTGACAATCTTGTTTGTGAATTTAGATATGGCTAACAATTTAGACACAATGGGGAAAATCCCACCTGGGATTTGGCTTATAAGGAAAATAAGAGGCAAAGATTGGAGTCTTAAGACTTATAGGTACATGGTTTTGTTGATCACTTTCATTGCATATACTAGTTACCATGCATCAAGAAAACCCAGTAGCATAGTCAAGAGTGTATTGGATCCTGAACCCAACAAGACCACAAACGTGTACCCTTGGCCAATTGGAAGCGTCTTTGTTAGAGATGAATTCCTGGGTGAAAAGAAGGATAAGTTTGGATATAAAGGCTGGGAACCTTTTAATGGGAAAGATGGGACAAAGAAATTGGGTTTGATTGATGTTGCATTTCTTGCTTGTTATTCTTTGGGAATGTATGGTGCTGGCCATTTAGGCGATAAGTTGGATTTGAGGTTGTTTCTGACTTTTGGGATGATTGGTAGTGGAATTTTTGTGGGGTTATTTGGTATGGGATATTTTTGGAACATTCATGTTTTCGGATTTTATTTGGTTATGCAAATGGTTGCTGGGTTGTTTCAAGCCACGGGTTGGCCTTCTGTTGTGGCTGTGATTGGTAATTGGTTTGGGAAAAGGAAGAGAGGGTTAATAATGGGTATTTGGAATGCACATACTTCAGTTGGGAATATTACTGGCTCTCTTATTGCCGCAAGTGTTTTGGACTATGGTTGGGGATGGTCTTTTATTGCTCCGGGAACGTTTATTGCACTAGCAGGGATATTTGTTTTCTTGTTTTTAGCTGCTTATCCCGAGGATATTGGATTTCCTTGCCCAAATGGCCCAGCGGCAAGGGAAGAGGCAGTGCCTCGCGACTTAGAAGCTCAAACACGGAATGAAGGTATTGTGGAAGAGGGGAAGAATGCTCCCGTCCCAGACAGATCTGGGGCTAGGAGAAGTGTTGGGCTTCTTGAAGCTTGCTTGATACCAGGAGTGATACCATTTGCATTTTGCCTGTTCTTCGCCAAGCTCGTGGCTTACACGTTTTTGTATTGGTTGCCGTTTTATTTGAGTCAGACAGGTGTTTTCTGGCCTCCAATTTCTGATATTAGAATTTTGTAATTTCATTGATTGCTAACCTTGTTTCTTACATAAGATTTTGTTTGCTGGTTTGTGCTATATATGTATTTTTTTTTCTTTTTTCTTTCTTTTTTTGGATTTTGAGTAGCAATACAAAAAGGATTGCAAGTTTTAGGGATTCACTAATCTGCTGAAATTAATCAAGCAGCATGCTAGCATAGAACGGTTCTTAGGGGCTAAGATCTCGTTGGTGTACTTGATGATTTTACCAAGTTAGCTAGCACCTATTGCATCGCTCAAACTGTTGAGCGTTTGGTCATCTATTTTTTTGCTAAAATGAGGTCTCCTGACTCTGTAGCTTTCACTTGATATGATTTATCAAAGATATAAACATGAAAAAACAGGTTAATTTTACAAATTGAGGCCGTCGAAGCAATTAGAAAGCCTGCAATATTTTTATGACCGTTGGTTGGGCAGTTGTGTGGCCTCTTTGAAACAGTGGTTTTGGTGGATCATGTGAAGCTAAGACTAATAAAAAATACACAGATATGCAAATGCTGGTACAATTGTTTGACTAATGAAAAGTTCATAGTTCAGCCATGCAGGCATTTTGAGAATGGTTATGCGGCCTCACTATAGAGCTGCTTTGCCACTCCTTACTAGTATTAAGAAGTAGAGCACGAGGCTAGGCTTGAAGCAAGTAGATGAAACTCATTACTGAAATCGTTATAGAGTCAAATAAGATCAAGCATATATAATCTGCGCAGGGATATTGCCACTGGAACAGAGCACTCATGGTAATTGGTAATGTTTATTTGTGAACACATGCATTTTTCAAAATAATTTTTTGCTGCTGTCAGAAATCTTTACAAGATTATCCTGTTTTGCAGACGTAATAGTGCAATTTTTTTAACTGCAGAAATTGGTGGAGAATACATGTCCGTGAAGTCAGCTGGAAATCTATCAACTCTGTTTGATGTGGGAGGCATTGTTGGTGGAATTCTTGCTGGCCATATATCCGATAAACTTAGAGCTCGAGCTATTACAGCAGCAAGTTTCATGTATGCTGCAATTCCTTCTATGCTTTTATACAGCCTATATGGGAGTCTCTCACAGAGTATGAACATCGTACTCATGATGATTACTGGCTTACTCATAAATGGGCCGTATGCACTTATCACAACGGCAGTATCTGCTGACCTTGGTACTCACAGTTCTCTTAGAGGGGATTCTCGAGCACTGGCAACAGTGACTGCCATAATTGATGGTACTGGATCAATTGGTGCAGCTCTTGGTCCTCTTCTCACTGGGTTCCTTTCATCAAAAGGATGGAATGAAGTTTTTGTGATGCTGATGCTCGGTGCTCTTATTGCGGGGCTTCTCTTGTCATGTCAGGTTGTGGCTGAAATTAATGAGAAGACTAGTAAATTGATGCGTTCATCCAGTGGACAGCAAAATTCTCAAGGTAATGTAATGAACTGGCTAATCCCGTAAACACAAACTGACACAGACACACACTTTTCATGATATAACTTTTTTTCTTCCAGTGGACAGCAACGTTCTGAAGGTAATGTAATGAACTGGCTAATCCCGCAAACACAAACTGACACAGACACTCACGTTCCATTGTATAACTTTTTGTTAGAGTCTGTAAGGTTTGTTTGAGTTAAAACTACTTACCTAGCATCATATGAGAATGACAAAAACGAGGAAAAAAAAAACTCACTCTTCAGGGATTTGCTGATGTGATAAATTGGCCAAACATGACGAAGGTCAAGTGAGGCTCTAAATATATCCTTGCATGGCCTCTTTGAACTTTGTTCTCCTTCTATTACTTATAAGTTCGGATCAAACCACATTGGATTCAGTTAAAGAACTCTATATTGGTTTTTCTTTTTTTTTTCCCCATCTTGTTTTAAGCCCCACATCCTTCATGGAAAGCCTCAAACAACCAAGTGTTTGAACTTTGAAGTAAGTTGTGTGAATATGAGGTAGGCATCTCTCCGGATTATGTATCCCAAGAGAGATTCTGAAATCTGCATCAAGCTTATTGGTCATTGAAAATTTAAGCTAAAGATACTAATAGATTTCCTAGTTAGGAGGAGCAGCAAGTTATTGGTCAATGAACTTTGTATGGAAATACAACTTCCATTGTGGTTGGACGGTTCTTCCGAACTGGACAAAAATATTTTGTATTCTATAAGTGGTTCACGACGTCTTCAAGCCTATTTATGGCTCTGTGAAGAAGAGTGTTGATTTGAAGTGGTAGGAGTAAGAAAGGGAGTGGTGGGAGGGCTAGAATATATAATGATGCATGTTAGTAAAATGGTATCGTGTTAATCCAGTACAAAAAGCTCAGTCCAAAGTAAAATTGTATAGAGAATGAGGAATAGTTTAAAGTTGATTGCAACTGATATATTTTTTTTACTGTCATATCAATAAATAACTCTTATATGATCAGTATTAATCATTCTAATTCTCTGTAGCTGAACCGACTTTCCTGCCTCCAGTGGAATGTGATTGTTTCTTTCCCCTTCTAAATAATCTATGCTCTCCGTTTGTTTTGCAGCTCCTCCATCTCAACCACTTCTAAATGATCAAAGATGAAATTCAGGTATTGCCTCATGAAACGTTTACAACAAAAGATAATCAAGAACAAAGTTAAAAGACAGGGTTATTAGAACAGTCAACTGATTGAATTTCGATGATGGGCACGAAGACATGTTTCTTTATAATTTGATAGATATGGATGTAGTTTAGTAGTGCTCTTTTTCTGCAAGACGAGTGGGCTAGCGTAGTAGTATGACTGATGTGTTTATTACTCTATTTTGGTTTAGAGGATCCTGAATGTAAACTCATTGTCTTTGAGGACACCGATTGAATCATTCCTAAATCCAATGAGTACTGAGGAAGATGGAATTCACTGTTTGTCAACTTGAGCGTGTAAAACCAGACGTGGCAGAGCTAATGAAGTTAGGTTTCTGGCAACGATGAATTTTAAGGCGCCATTGGTTTGTGGGTTATACTATAAACCAGGCAGTTCATTTCTAAGAGAGAGCTTGACAGGTTCTTGATCTTCTGGCTTCCCTTTCTTTCATGACTAAGTAAAAGCACATAACGAATTACAGTCAATAAGGTTTGGGCACACAAAGTGTAATCAGTGGAAAGTTGAACATATTTGTTAAGGTGAATGTGAAATAGGTCCATGAAACTGTTTAACAGTTGCCATGATTTTATAAAAAATATAAAATCGCCATCCCCTTCACTTTGAGAAATCTTATTTTGTAATCAAATTGCAATTCACCGTTTTCTTGAATTTTTGAAAATAATCAAAGAAACCAAATATAAATTGCGATGCTGTCATTTATAAATATATATTGATATTTTGAGAAGTTGCAATTGGTATCTTATTGGAATGGAACAGTACTCTGATCAGTGATGGAAGGAGATGGAAGTCTGAAAAGTTTTAGCCATTTAAAAACCAAAATTATACGAAATCAACTGAGAACAAAAGCAGATATGTTATTGAAGGAGGGAACAATTTTCCCCAAGAAAATGTTTTAAAACTGAGTGCAAAAGCAGCCAGTCTAGAGGCAATTGATAAATTAAAACAAAGGAATCAAATATTATCATATGATAACCAGTACAATATCAATTACAGAACCAGGAATGGGAATATAGAACTTGAGCTAGCTCTAGGTTCATACTCTTTCAGAAATGGGTATTCCTTGTTGTTGTGCTGCTGTACTGTTGGTACTTGTCAGTAGATGGTGGATTATTATAGTAAATTATAAATTAGTCGCTCTCATTTTGAAAAATGAATTAATTAATCTCTTTAGTTTTAAAAATTAATTATTTAGTTCTCATGTTTTTAAATCAATTTGAAATTTAGTCCTTTTTTTTATTTAAATTTATTATGATTTTTTATTTTAAGAAAATAAAAAAATATAAAAATAAATATGGAAAGAGTGATGTGAAAAGAAGAAATTTTATGAAAAAAATAATATTAAATTAAACATGTTTAATACTAATAAAAAAAAACTAAGTGATAGTTTTTGAAATGAGGGAAATTAATTAATTTATTTCTTGAAACTAGAGAGACTAATTTATAATTTACCCTAAATTATTGAATGGTTGTGAATAGCCGTTTGTAGGAGGGTAAGTAGCCATTGTTGGAGAAGGAGGAGAAAGACAGGATAAAGAAATGATAGTTTTCTAATCACAACCTGCATTGTCATGGTCTTTTATTCGTTTTTGCATGCAACGTTTAGCAGAAAATATATATTGTTTTTGGAAATGATAGTAACAAATATCCATTACTCTATTGTTTTACTGGTGTAATAAATATGGAAGGCTATCGATTTATCATCGATTCTTCCATTTATCACGTGATTTTTGGGATATCTACTAATGATTTATAGCTTGAACAAAAACAAGCTTAAAATGCGAAAATTACTGGAAGGGCAGACCCGGTATTGCCCATAGATGATGACTATATATATATATGTCATTTACGTTCTTGCTCAGATTGGTTGTTATGTTCCTGCTCGCTTTTCAACCATAAGGGTAGTTGATCGCATATTTACAAGGATGGGTTCAGTGGATAATCTTGAATCAAACTCCAGTACGGTACAATTTCCAACCTCAAATGTGAGAGGAAAGAGAAAAACAAAGACTGGCAATGCCTTGATTTTATTTCAATTCCTTTAATCCTTCTATTTGATATATATACCTAGAGGGTTTCCTCTTAAAGTGCCTGTCATCGTCACTGGACTCATAGTCCATGGCAGTGGCGGCTGCAGTAGCACTGCCACTGCTCTTTCTAGCTTTCGCAGACGACTTATAGTCATCATAGTAGCCATTATTAACAGGCGATGAAGACTTGTGACGTGCAGAAGATGCAGGGGCAGCAACACCAGCAGCTGGTTTGTTTTTTCCATTTCCATAAAAGTTTAGAAACTGATAAGAATTGGAATACATCTCCAGGACTAGACTTCTACGGGCCAATCTGTTGAAGCCTTTAAAAGATATTGAGACTATCAATACTCGGCTTGATTGCTTGGTTAGTGTATTTGGTTAACTCAGATGATTTCTCTGGCGGAGTTATGTTAGCTTGATGCGGCCCTGGGCTTGCAACTAAAACAGTGCTGGTTTGTTCAGACTGTAATCGGTTAATGTTTATGTATGTGTGCATGTGTAAGAAGAAAAAGATGCACCTATTTTTCAATCATTTGAAGTTATTTTCACAAGCCTTTGTAGGCAGTCTCTGTTATTCACATCTACATAATACTTGTTAGAGTGCAAACTGGCAAAATGCACTATAATTGTGTAACAAGTATAGGTTACACATGGATTTTGTTTGGATAGGTATGGATGTGAATCTTTGGTTGGTGGGCTCCGGTTATGATATAAAAAATATATATATATGTGTGTGAAAAATGAAAATGATATAACAAGTTAGTCTGTCCACAAGCTACACAGTCCTGCTTATTGCTGTTTCGGTGATGTCCATAAGATCAGTTAATTTAAAATACAGAGCTTCAACTTGAGTATGTATTTTGGACAGCTTCTGGGTAATTGCATTACTCAAAATCATTATCAAAGTTCACACTCATGTCCAGGTCCAAAAATCACCGGCATCATTGTGCTAATGATCTCAATTGAATTCTGTTAGTTGGTTGTCTAAGTTTCCGTTCCAAAACATTACCTAGCAAGCCTGTGTTTGGAAATACTTAAATCGTAAAATTTATATGGTAAACTATTCATGCTTCAATTCTTTGAATTTTGTGCAGCACAGCTTGCTACACTTCTGTTCTAATCCCTCACATGATGCATCTCTTTGTATTTGATTTCAGGATGAACTAATGAGCGATGAAAAGCTTTTTTTGGACTCTCTCAGGCTCTGCATAAGTTTCCAAAAGAGACTGGTAAGCAAAAAGAAAAATAAGAAGCAAAAGCGATCTGTTGTCTGCCAGTCCCCTCCTCTTTGGTGGCCTTCTGGATGTTAGTCCATTTGATGTTGTCAGTCTTGGAGTGATCTTGTTCATGTTCTTCATTCAGATAGGGTACTCTGTCACTTCTGCTTTAAACCTAAGAAAGTCACTAATGAGGTCTTGGGTGCTGATAATGCTCGAAGGAGCCAAGTTCTGATATCAAGCATTGTTCTACTTAAAACTGCTTGAGATGCCTTGCCTTTACCCTCAAAGGTACATTGCGTGCTTTCACATTTATATACGAACCCAAACGTGTTTCGATATCTCAGCACTTTTTAAATATTTCAGGCACTCAAGGATGCAAAAAGCTTTCTTCTTGCAAATGTTTACAAGACTATATGTGAAAATGAGAAGTATACTTCCATTAGAAAGAGGTATGTTGCTAGCATGTTCCTGTCGATAAACTGTATTTTTTTTCCACAGGACATAACTAGTGTCTGAGGCAGTGCAAAAGTATTCCATCTAGTTATTGGTTCCCTAGATTCTAGTTGGCTAATGATTTTGGGCTTCAATACAAGGGATATTTGTGCCCATATCCCCATCTCGAATGTGAGGGCAACATAATCTGCTACTTTAGCGCATTTTAGGTGTTTGAAGGTTCAGAATAATGCATTTCAACTTTTGTGAAATATTTTTTCCCATATCGCATCCCTTACCTGAGGAAAATGCATCCACTAGTTTAGCACATTTTAATTGTTTGTGTCAAGTAAAGCCGTCAAGATGTGGTCAACGTAACTCGTCAAGTTATTATTGTCGTAAATATATACTTTCCTAGAATAGGATCTCATTGTGCTATGGGGACATAATTGGGGAGTTGATTGCTCTAATTAAGGGATACAATACCTTGTACAAATTACTATATAAAGGGAAGAAAAGCTCAAAGGAAAAGGGAGATATTTTTTCCACGTAAATCTTGTTTTGTTATTCTTGATTTGTTATGGTATCGAGCCCTTTAGGGTTTCTTGTTTCTTGAATTCTTTGTGAATTTTTTCTGGTTGCTTCGAGTTCTTGGTTCATCGATTATGAGACATTTTTTTTTGTACTTCTTTTTTTGACATTGTATTCATGGAAAAATCAAAAGTAACTTGTATCATATTTTCGGGCAAGAATTATTTCGCACGGGAATTTCGGTTTCAAATTTATGTTCAAGGGAAATAATTATGTGGGATTGTTGATGGCACGGACGAGAAACTTACCGATCCGATCAAGGCCGCCGAGTGGACAACCAAGGATGCTCGTGTCGAGAGCTAGTTGTTGCAAACCATGGATCCTTCAATTGTTGTCAATTTAAGACCATATAAGACAGCTAAAGCCATGTGGGATTATCTTAAGAAAGTGTATGATCGAATAGCTCAGCAAGGAGGTTTCAACTGGAATATGAGATGTCCACTTACACATAAGGAAACTTGTCTATTCAAGAGTATTATACAGGTTTTGTGACATTATGGACTCGAATATACCAACATTGTTTATGCATCGGTCCGGGTACGTCTTTGGAAGTTGTTAGAACTCTTCATCGGACCGATCAAAGAGATCAATTCCCGATGAAGCTCGGACTTGAATTTAAAGCGGTGAGATCAAATTTATTACTCAAAACGCCTTCTCCATCTTTAGATGATTGTTTGAATGAACTTTTTCACGAAAAGCGGCGTCACATGACACAAGCTATATTAGAGCAACAAGGAAACTCCACCAACGTTCGAATGTTGCATATGTTGCACAAGGCAAACCTCGAGTCCGAAATATGAACAATACTCAATGTTTCGAGTTGTAAGGAATTTAGACACATAACAAGTCAATGTTGCCAAAAGTTTTGCAACTATTACAAAGGTAAAGGACACATTATTTCGAATGTAAGAAGCGTCCACAAAATCACAATTTCGATGCTTTTCATGCATCAACTACAAATACAGAGAATCGAAACCACTTCGAATTTGTTTCTTCTCAACGACCAGTTCCACCTCCGACATAAGAGAATGTGCAGCGAGATGATTGTCTCAGCTCTTTTCGCTTCCGAGCTTATCGGTAAAAACAAATCTTTACCTAAATTTTGGATCTTTGACTCGGTTGCTTCAAATCATATGAGTCCGATATTTCTACCACTCCATCATTGATGAATGCCTTTGTTGCTCCCGATTTGTCCGCTAATCTACTTTCCGTTGGACAAATGGTAGAGAATAATTGCAAAGTTACTTTTTCTTCTTCGGTTATGTTGTGCGGAGCTGGTGTCGGGAAAGACAGTAGCTAAAGGACCTAAATGTGGTCGACTTTTTCCTCTCCATCTAGATGAACCAGCCAAGTTTTTGAATGTGTCTTTGTTTCTTTCTTGTTCTATCCAGACTCGAACTTAAATCATGGCACGTGAAGTTAGGCCATCCAAATGATAGGACTCTTTCATTTTTGTTAAAATCGGTGTGTTAGGAAATAAAGTCCCATTTAAAGATGTCAATTTTGATTGTTCTAGTCGTAAATTGGGTAAAAGCAAAACTCTACCATTTCTTTCTTGAGATACACATGTCTCTCATTGTTTTGATTTAATCCATAGTGATGTTTGGGGGATTTCACTCGTTATCTCTCATTCTCAATATAAATACTTTATGATGTTCATCGATGATTTTAGTCGATTTACTTGGATATATTTTTTGCGAAGTAAATCTAAAGTTTTTTATGCTTTTCAAAAACTCCTAGCCATGATTGAAAATTAGTTTTCCAAAAGAGTCAAAATTCTTCGATTTGACTCTGCGGGGAATACATGTCAAAAATTTCAAGAGTTCCTCCAACAAAAAGCTATTATTTCTCAAAGGAGTTGTCCTTATACACCTCAACGAAATGGTGTTGCTCGAACGAAAAAACCAACATCTTCTTGATATGGTCCATTCACTACTCATCGAGTCCCGTGTTCCACCAAAATTTTGGGTCGAAGCTATATCTACTGCCGTCCATCTAATAAATCGTCTTCCTTCACCTACACTTAAAAATCAAACACCATACTTTCTTCTCTATCAACAACAACCTACTTATAATCATCTTCACACCTTTGGTTGTGTTTTCTTTGTGCATTTGCCTCTTCATAAACACTCGCAAGCTATCCCCTCAATCATCAAATGTGCCTTTCTTGGATACGCATCATCTCAAAAGGGCTATATAACAAGATAGAACTTTTGTGTAAAAGTTTGTATCTCTATACTCCGAGTTTTCTCTTGATTAAATAGAGATATTACAACAAATCATATGCCTCAATTACAGCAAATCATATCTCGTAATTATAGCGAGGTTCTATTCTAGGAAAGAAATATATTTACATAGCAAATGACGAGTAATAATATGATAGTTACGGTTGACTATGACGAGTTATCATTGACACCCCCTCAAATTGATGCTAGTAAGTCTAAGTAGCATCAATTTGTTAACAAAAACCGATGTCGAGCAAGAGTGAGAGGCTTTGTGAGGATTTTAGCAATTTGTTGATCCGTAGAGATGTAAGGAAGAGTAATAACACCGACATCGAATGCTTCTCGAATTGAATGACAATCAACCTCAATATGCTTGGTACGTTCATGATAGACAAGATTTGCCACAATTTGAATAACACCGGTGTTATCGGCATGTAGTGCGGTAGAGATTAGATTGTGGGTAACCCAATTCGGAAAGTAAACCACGTAACCAAGTAATTTCGTAACATGTTACGGACATTGCATGATATTCGCTTCAGTTGAGGATTTGGAAACTCGTTCTTGCTTCTTATATTTCCAAGAGATCAATGCATCACCTAAGTATACATACCAACCAATAGTAAAACGCCGCGTATCGTGACAACCGACCTAATCGGCGTCACTATAAGCTACAAGTTAAAGCGAGGAACCGGATGGGAAAAAGAGGCCATGGTTGGAAGTACCCGGAAGATAACGGATAATTCACTTAATTGTCGCCAAATGTAAATGATGTGGAAAAGCCATAAACCGACTCACCAAGTTGACTACAAAGGAGATATCGAGCCGAATGATTGTCAAGTAAACTAAACTCCCAACTAGGCGTCGATATAGTGTAGGATCCGATGAAGGTCACCGTCATCTTTGCGATACTTAACGTTGATTTCCATCGGTGTATCGACTGAAGTGGAATTTTGTAAGCTCGCTAATATAATTATGTCACCGAGATACTTATGTTGATTTACAAACATTCCTTTGCTACTTCGTGAATTTCCAACCCCAAAAAATAAGCAAGGGACCCAAGATCTTTCATATGAAAAGAAGTATGAAGAGAAGCTTTGAGTTGTTGAATTCCAAGCAATATCGGTTCCAGGTGATGACAATATCATCGAGATAAACAAGTAAAAGAACAATATCGGCGAAGTCTTTCGCAAGAATAGGGTAGGATCATACTTGCTTTGCACAAAAGAGAGATGAAGAAGAGTCCGTCGAAATTTCTCAAACCAAGAGCGGGGAGCTTGCTTAAGCTCGAATAAAGAGCGCTTTAAATGACAAACATTAGTAGCAGTTATTGTCAAACCCGGTGAAGGACGCAAATAGAAATCTTCTTTAATATCTCCATGAAGAAACGCATTTTTGACATCCGTCCGATGTATTTCCCAATTCCGAGAAGTTGCAATAGCCAAGATTGTACGAACGAGTAGTCATCTTGGCAACCGGAGCAAAAGTTTCCTCGTAATCGATCCCATATTCTTGACGATTGCCAAGTGCCACAAGTCGAGCCTTACTCGTTCAAATGAACCATCGGATTTAAGTTTGATAGAGAATACCCATTTATAACCAATCGGAGTGATCGAAGATGGACAAGATACAATCTCCCATGTGTTATTTTGTCGTAAAGCATCAAGTTCCTCTCCGAATAGCTTTCTTCTAGCAATCAAACTTCATAACTTATGAGTAAGATCTAGGAATAGTAATAGATGACGATGTTGCGACTAAAGATGTGTGAGAACTATATCGGTCGGGAGAATATCCATACCTTTTTGGTGGATATGAGGTACGAGTAGACCTTCGAAGTTGTGGTGAGTCAACATCGGAACCGATAGCGAGGAAGATTGTGGAGGTTGTGGAAAGAGCTATATCGAGGGCTGGTTGAGCGAATGACTCATGAAGAATGTCTCCAGCTTGAACCTCATTATCATTTCTCCTTGTATACATAATGTCGAGCCTAAAATGTATGATAGGAATAAAAGGATTTTTATTATGATGATCGGACGGATCCTCAAAAGTCGGAAGAAAGGAGTGACTAAAAATGTGTGAAGTGACATTATAAGAAGGAAAGAAATACTAGTGGTCAAAAAATATGACATTACGAGAAATTCAAATTCGTTGAGTAGTGGGATCAAAACACATATAACCCTTTTGATGTGGTGCATATCCAAGAAAAACACATCTAGTTGATTGATGGGAGAGTTTTGTGCATTCACGAGGAGGAAGGAGAACAAAACTAACACAACTAAATGGATAGAGATGTGTATATTCGGAGTTCGTCGGTGATGGATAAGGAAGTATGGTGTTTGATTGTCAAGAACAATCGTAGGAATATGATTGATTAAATGTACTATAGTAGTCAAAGCTTCAACCCAAAATTGTGATGGAACAACAGATTCAATGAGTAAGGAGCGCACTACATCGAGAAGGTGACGATTTTTTCGCTCGGCGATGCCATTTTACCGAGGTGTATATGGACAACTCCTTTGAGAAATAATTCCCTTTTGTTGAAGAAACTCTTGAAATTTTTTAGACATCTATTCCCCACTGTAATCGAACGAAAAATTTTGATGTTTTTTGAAAATTGATTGTCAACGAAAGCTAAGAATTTTTAAAAAGCATCAAAGACTTCGATTTTTATCGTAAGAAATATATCCAAGTAAAGCGACCGTGATCGTCAATAAATGTCACAAAATACTTGTACTAAGCATGAGATATAACAGGTGAAATCTCTCAAACATCACTCGTGAATCAAATCAAAACATTGAGAAGACTTTGTTTCACGAGAAGAAAAAGGAAGAGTTTTGCTTTTACCCATTTTGCAACTAGAACAATCAATTTTGACAAGATGAGATGGAATTTTATTGTCTAACACTCCGGACTTTAACATGGATAAAAGAATTCTATCATTTGGATGACCTAATTTGACATGCCATGACTTGTAATTAGGCTGAATAGAACAAGAAAATAAAAAAAAACACATTCATAGGCTTGGTCGGTTGATAAAGTCGAAGAGGAAAAAGTCCGCCCCATTTAGGTCCCTCCGCTACTCGTCTTCCCCGACACTAGTTCCCGCACGAGTACAACCGAAGGAGAAAAAATGACTTTGCAATTATTCTCAATAATTTGTCCAACGTAAAGCAAATTAGTCGATAAACCGGAGGCAATAAAAGCATTTTTCATTGATGAAGAGAAAGAAATATCACCGGTGGCAATTATGGGAATATGATCCCCACTAGTCGTCTCAATTTGCATGTTGCCACCATTATATGTTTTGATATTAAGTAGATTATCAAATGATGGAGTCATATGGTTTGAAGCAACCGAGTTAAAAAGCCGGATATTAGAAAGAGATGTATTTTTAACAAGTAAGACCAAGAGCAGAGAAAGTCGATATAATCATCTATTAAACATCCCGCTAAGTAAGAGATGGAAATGCGATTCGTTGTTTGACAAGAATCAACTACTGCTCGGAGATTCAATCATCATATTGGTAGTAGATTGTGAAGAGCACGAGGATTACGATTTTATGGACGCTTCCTATATTCGGATATAATATGCCCCTTAATTTTGCAATAGTTGTAAAATTTTTTAGAACATTGATCGGCAATATGCCCATATGCCTTACAACCGTAACACCGAGTGTTAGCCATGGTTCGAACCCGTCGCTTTCCTTGTGCCGCATAAGCAACATCGAGAACATTGGTGGAATTCCGTTGTTGTTCTAGAGTGGTTCGAGTCCGAGTGACGTTGCTCCTCCCTTAGTAATTCATTCAAACAAGTCATCCAAGGATGGAGAAGGAGTCTTAAGCAATAAATTAGAACGCACCACTTCATATTCAAGTCCGAGTTTCATCAAGAATTGATCTCTTTGACTAGTATGATGGAGATTTTGAACTCGCTTCTGAGATGCATCAGTATCGAAGCATACACAATGTTGGTATATTCTCGTCCATAATGAGACAAAACCCGTGTAATACTCCCGAATGGACAGATTACCTCGTGTGTAATTTGAAATGTCATATTCCAGTTGAAACCGTCTAGCTGAACCGTTCGATCATAAATTTTCTTGAGGTAATCCCACATAACTTTGGTCGTCTTTTAAGGTCGAAGATTGACAACAATGAAAGAGTCCATAGTCCGCAATAGCCAACTCTTAACTCGAGCATCCTTGGCCGCCACTCTGCAGCTTTGGTTGAATCGATCGGCTCGTTGTCCGTGCCATCGATAATTCCCCATAATTCTTTCCCTCGAACATAAATTTGAAACCGAAATTCCCAAGAAAAATAATTCTTGCTCGAAAACTTGACAAAAGATATCTCCGGTTTCTCCATGAATATAATGCTAAGAGAGATGCCAAAAAATATAACTCACAAAGCCTCGAACCAAAAAGACCAAAAAAAAATGCACAAGAAAGATAGAACAAAAGAACAAGAAACCCCGTAGGCTCGATACCATAACAAGATAGAACTTTTGTGTAAAAGTTTGTATCCCTATACTCCGAGTTTTCTCTTGATTAAATAGAGATGTTACAATAGATCATATGCCTCAATTACAATAAATCATATCTCGTAATTATAACATGTCCCGATTGGAAAGAAATATATTTACATAGCAAATGACAAGAATAATATGACGATTACGGTTGACTATAACAAACTATGACGACTATCATTGACACTATATGTGTTTTGATCCCATCACCAAACGAATACGTGTTTCTTGTAATGTTGTCTTTTTTTACCAACAATATATTTTCCCTTCATCTCGATGACAATTCCAATGTCTCCACTTATTCTTTTCTTCCTACCTTTGCAGATCGGTCCCCGTTTTTCATCAAAACTCACTTGCTCCTATCACCCATTTTCAGCCTGGTCTTGTTTACACACGTAGAAGTAGAGATGAGGCCTATGTTGATGATTATGCTCTTATACCGGTTCTCGAAACAGGTTTGCTACTTTCATCTCCCGTGTCTTCTTTGCTACCGGCTCCCGCCATCGACCCACCACCACTAAGACGGTCATCTCGCAACTCACATCCTCCGAACAGGTATGGTTATTCTCCCGAGAAATTTAATAATCATAAATCCATGGTTGCTTACTCCGTCTTCTATTGCCATACCAAGTTCCTACTCCGAAGCTATAAAACATGAATGTTGGCGACAAGCTATTCGAGAGGAGCTTGATGCATCGCGACAAAATAAAACTTGGAACATTGTTACTTGTCCGTCCGATGTTACTCCTATTGGTCGTAAATGGGTCTTTTCGATCAAACTTAAATCGATGGGTCCGTTGACCGATGTAAGGCTCGCTTGGTGGCTCTTGAAAATCGACAACAATATGGAATTGATTATGAAGAAACATTTGCTCCCGTGGCTAAAATGACTATAGTTCGTACAATTTTGGCTTTGATGACTTCTCAAGACCGGTCTATACATCGGATGGATGTTAAAAATGCATTTCTTCATGGAGATCTTAAAGAAGATATCTATATGCGTTCTCCACCTAGTCTACGAGTTCGTCGCCACGGAGGTATGTCACTTGAACCACTCTTTATATGGGCTTAAACAAGCTCTCCGTGCTTGGTTTGCCAAATTCGGACAAACTCTTCTTGATCCGTACTTTGTGCAAAGTCAATACGATCCTTCACTTTTTTTATGCAAGACTTCGAATGGGCTTATTCTCTTACTTGTATACGTGGATGATATTCTAATTACCGGTACCGATATTGACCAAATTGGGTAACTAAAAGCTTCTCTACATGCTTCTTTTCACATGAAAGATCTTGGCTCTTTGGCTTATTTTGGGGCTGAAAATTCATAGAAGCAATAAAGGAATCTTTGTGAATCAAGCATAAGTATCTCAATGATATCATTAATTTAGCTGAATTACGAATACAACTTCCGTTGATACTCTCATGGAATTAAATGTCAAGTATCGTAAAGATGAAGGTGAGCTTTTAAAAGATCCAACATTGTATTGACGTCTTGTGGGAAGTCTAGTTTACTTGACTATCACTAGATCGGACATATCCTTTCGTTGTTAACTTGCTGAGTCGGTTTATGGCTTCTCCGAAGCATTTACATATGGCGTACTGTAAAGCGAATTATTCGTTATCTTCATGGGACTTCTAATCGTGGTCTATTTTTTCCAACTGGTTCTTCTCTAAATTTGGTCGCTTACGATGACGCCGATTAGGCGAGTCGTCCCAATACGCGCCGCTCTACAACGAGTTAGTGTGTATACTTGGGTGATGCTTTAATTTCCCGAAAATGCAAGAAATAAGAACGAGTCTCCAAATCGTCGACCGAGGCGAATATCGTGCCATGTCCGCCACATGTTCGGAAGTTACTTGGTTACGTAGTTTGCTCTCCGAATTGGGTTACCACCGGCCTACTCCTACTCCTCTTCATGCCGACAATACAAGTGCTATTCGGATTGTAGCAAATCCCGTGGATCATGAGCGTACAAAGCATATCGAGGTCGATTGTCATTCAATCCGAGAATCCTTTGACAATGGTTCAATTACTCTCCTCATGTTTCTACACATCAACAGATTGTCGATATACTTACCAAGCCCCTACCTTCGACTCGACATCGGTTCTTCGTTAACAAATTGATGTTGGTTGATTCCACGACATCAATTTGAGAGGGGGTGTCAAGTAAAGCTATCAAGATGTGGTCAACATAACTATCAAGTTATTATTGTTGTAAATATATACTTTCCTAGAATAGGATCTGCGGTGATATAGGCTGTGATATGGAGACATAATTGGGGAGTTAATTGCTGTAATTAAGGGATACAATACCTTGTACAAATTACTAAATAAAGGGAAGAAAAGCTCGGAGGAAAGAGGAGATATTTTTTCTACAGAAATCTTGTTTTGTTATTCTTGATTTGTTAGTTTAAAGGTTCAGAGTAATGCAATTCAGCTTTGGTGTCATTTGCAAACATTTCTTATTTTTTTCCTTTGTTGAATTATTGAGGTGCATTGTTTTTTTCTGTATTTCTTGGATTTTTATTCAGGTTTCTAAATTCCCCTCCCTCATACAAGCTTAAGTATAATACCGATTCTGCCATTCGCTGTCTTTCTCGTGTTTTATTATTTAACCTCACTGGGTGAGGAGGTTTATTCCAGGTCAGATACTATGTTTGATCTCTTATGAAAGCAACGGATTTGTTTGTTTATGCCCACGTGGCTAGCATATGATGCTTTGCACTGCAAATGAACACTATAGAGGGATATGGACCTAGGTTGAAGGAAATGAAGGAAAATGATAATAGTATTACCATAGAGTTGATAAGCGCTATTGAGTGTCATAAAAGTTTCACTATTTGATTCAGTTGGTGATAAACCACGCTTGGAGTTAAAATATAATGTTAAAGTAATCACCATTATGGCATTTAATTTTCAGGAGATCTTGTTTTTAGTTTGTAATGTACCATAAAAATATACATTACAATGCCTTTTACAGTTTAATCCCTTGGTCAATCTTTGTTAAACCTTGTGTAAGTACAAACTACTTGATTCATTTTCTGAAAAAGCTTTGTTTTTTCAAGAGTGGGAGAGGTGATTGATGAAGACGTGCTTCATGCACGGGTTCCTTTTGTTGCCCGAACACAGCAGTGTTTTACTGTCAAGGCTGGAATTGATGGACTTTTGGATATTGCATGGAGAACAATTTGTGATACCAGTGAAGGTTTACCATATAGGTTTCTGTTCCCTTAATTTTCTTTTCGTCCTTTTCCTTCACCTCTTGTTTTCATTGTTGTTTCCATGGGTAGCAATGCATAATCTTGCAAATAGGTATCGAGAAGAATTTAAGGTGCCAAATCTGAAACTTCTATTTAACAATAAACAAGGCTTTTGCTTTAGCATTCCACAGAAAGAAATCCAGGGAAAGCTTCCGAGCAAGTTCATTCAGGTCGGCCATAAGATTCCTCCTCTAGTCATCATAGTAAAAATCTCTTTACTAATTAATTTTGACATGCATTTGCTTTTGACACATAAATCAGGTCCTGAAACATGGGAACAATACACATTGCGCAACTTTAGAACTTGCTTCTGTGAGTATAATCCTCGTATAAACAACTTCATACTCATGTACATGATCTGTCACCAGATATGAAATTCTGTAATTCTATGTTACAATATTATGCAAGGAGAAATGATACTACTGTTATTTTAGCATGATATCACCCCAATACCTGGTACATTATAGTAAGGTTCATGTGTATGCATGTGTGACCTTCTTTTCTTGATGGAATGAATAGATCTGAATCTGATGTTTGTGTGGCCTAATGATAGTTGCCCATGCCAAATAATTTTGAGCTTAGCTGGAACTTTCTTAGAATTGTTATGCAATAAATATCAAGATAACAATACATATACTGAGTCTAAGAACCTCAATTCAGGTTATTGTCCTTTTTTGGAAGTTATGACAATTTTTTGGGTGCAAATTTTCATGAAATTGTTATAGATGCAACCATAATGATGTTGAGGAGATATGTATTACAAAGGAAGTTAAGTGTACCAATGGAATCATTTATAAGAGACCAACTCAAGTGCAAATGTTAGATTTTCCTTCAGTAGAACTGCAGCTTGTCACTTGTTCCTCCCTATTTCCTTACAACATTTATAATATTCTAGGGGTAAGTTTCTTCAACAATTTATACCTGAATTTTCCTTTACTAAGACCTGAGCTATGAACATGAATAGAACTTTAAAGCAATGTTGGTCATTTTTCTGCATGATTGTAATCTTCTCATTACAGAATCTTGTGTTCACGTCATTCGATTGTTCTTATGTATGTACTACTGTATGTCCAATCTTCTTGCCTGAGCCTTGGAAATTTCTCATTAAGTTTGCTTCATGGTGTGAAATGTGCAGCTGAACGTGAGAAATAAGTCTGCTGCTGCGGAGTGCTATATTAGAACAGAAGTTTGCCTTGAAAGTTGTTATAGATATCTTTTAAGTATTCAAATATTGATAAATAAACTATATCTTGGTCTTACTAGCTTCAAATGTTTGCTTATGCTCTATCTCTGGATGGAGTGTACTGTGCCTTTTTGGGTTAGTATTGACCTGGTGAAGAGTATTTTGCGAAATTTAAGTGACAACTAATTCATTTTAAGAGATAGAATTGGCAGAAAGATCTAATTTACATTTTCCATTAATATGTGGGAATATGGTCTGTTATTGCGCTTCTCTACTAAAGGTCTCTTTTGATTAATTTTATTTTCTGCTGTTATATGGTAAAGGTCTCCATGTGCCTTGCATAAGGATTGTGGACGTAAGAGGTTTATGACCATTATTTTTAGCAGGCTACCGATTTTCCATGGCAGAACTTTTGCTTCTTAATTGGATTTAACAATAATTAAACGAATGTCCAATGTGTCAGTTTATCATTTTACCATAACATTAAGGCTCTTACTTTGCAAATTATTAGAAAATCTCAAAACATTTGAACGTTACTTCCATATTCCAGAAAATATATAAGATGGATGTATTTGCTTAATGTTGCTTCGATTTTGTACTATATATTGGTGTTAATGTTCTTATTTGGTGCTTAAATTGTAAATGGTCAATTATAAGGTACCGATTTCAGGGGAAGGACTATGAGCATCTCTCATGTATGACTTGCTTGTCACAGAGGGAATCTAGAACCAGTCATGTTGACTGCCAATTATAAGATTATTTTTCTGCTGTCTTGGTCTTTCCCTTCATAGAACTTCTACTCATATATACCATGCTCTCTACATTAGTTATGCTGATGATAATGTTTTTTTTTTTTTTTTTTTTTACTTATATAATTTTACTTTATCTGCAGCCTTATTAAATGCCATAAGGGAGGACGTTTCTGCACTAACTCCTCTTGCGGAGGTCTTATGCCTTCTAGATATGATCATCAATTCATTTGCTTACACAATCTCAACTAAGCCTGTAGATAGATATACTAGACCAGAATTTACAAGTAAGCGATTTGATATTTTGTAGCATATATCTTTGACTATAAGAGTTGAATTTTGGGGTGTGGCTGATCATGTCCTTTGCTGACAGATAATGGCCCATTGGCAATTGATGCTGGAAGAAACCCTATCCTGGAAAACATACACGATGATTTTGTTGGTTGTAACTGCCTTTCTTTTTCTTTTTTTTGGTTGTTGTTGTTTGATTGCTTATGTGTTGTCTTTCTGACATATGAAAACTCTGGCAACTTTTTATTGCCCTAATTTTCTTGTCTTTCTGTCCTTCAAAATTGATTCTTAGCTCTTTCTGCAGCCCAACAATATCTTTATTTCAGAAGCATCAAACTTGGTAATTGTCATGGACCCAAACATGTAAGATATGCTCGTTTTTAAAGTTGCTCCAGCTTCTAGTTGGAAGGCTTTTATTCATTGCATCCATTTCTTCTAAACTTATTCTTGGTAGTAGTTTGAAGATTGTAGATGCAGGTTCAGGTTCCAATACATCATACTTAAACCTTGTGTGTTTGGTGCTTTAGTAATCTCCTCTATTTAATCTGGAACATGAAAATTTGAAAGGACCCCACTTCAAATGTCCTGGAAGCTTAGGATAATGCCTCAAGGATTACAGTTTTTATTTGCCTCATTGTTGTTAAATGTCTATAGCAAAACAGAAAAATATTGGGCATAGTTCTGTTATACATAGTCTTGAGGTTAATTTGAAGTAAACCATCTGAAAGGATTGTATTGAAAAATGGCCTTCAATGAACCTATCATAATATATGGATAACTGTGCATAAAAAACAGCAGGTGGATTGTGTTTATACAATTGAATGGTGGCTTTTATCTAAAGCATTCAGTTTCAGCATAGGCTGCATAGGTTTGGCTGAATGTAAGCTGCATTCTGTTCTTCAGTTTTGAAGCACAAAGTTCTTTCATTGTTTATTTGGATCAGCCTCCAATCAAAATGTTAAACTTGACGCTTATAGGTATATATATTGCTCTAGTTTAATAATCTACAATTCCCTTTAGGAGTGGGAAGAGCACTTATCTTCAACAAGTGTCTCAGATTGGTTGTTATGTTCCTGCTCGCTTTTCAACCATAAGGGTAGTTGATCGCATATTTACAAGGATGGGTTCAGTGGATAATCTTGAATCAAACTCCAGTACGGTACAATTTCCAACCTTGAGCTCTTTCATCAGTTATATGATGTATGTCAAACTATAGAAAGCAAATTTTTCTTCATACACACGCCTCTTTCCCAACCTCAAATGTGAGAGGAAAGAGAAAAACAAAGACTGGCAATGCCTTGATTTTATTTCAATTCCTTTAATCCTTCTATTTGATATATATATTTATATTTTTTTAAAAAAAGGAGAGCTTAGACTAGATGTTCCTTGTGATGTTAACATAAACATAAGTTGAGATAGCTATATTGTCTCTCTCGTTCTTTAGCTTAATTTCTCGTACCATCTTTGTTTTGCCTTTTAATTTGTTAGTTGTTCTCAAGAACAAATATTGCTCCTGTAGTTATTCACGTGCTATCATCAGGATGTGCATATAACAAAATCTTCTTATCTAGGAACTTCCTTTCAGTAGAAATTTAGCTTTCATCACGATCATTTGATGACAGAGAATGATGGGCACACATTAAATAGTTGCAGCTATGTAATCCAATGCTTAGGATCTTTTAAGAAAACCGGAGGGCTAGCAGTTGGGTGTTTTTGGAAGAGCGCTGCAAGTGAAACTAGTTGTTGAATGCAGAATAACTCTTTCGAAAGTTCCTACATGATTTTTGTTGAGTGTCTTTTGCAACATTCTCCGATACAGCAGAATTTCTTTCCTATTGTTTCCCTGAAATTGGTCAGTATTCTTTAAACAAGAAAAACGGCATCACATAATTGGAAATAAGTAACAAAACTTTTTGATGAGTTGAACTAAATTAAAGAAAAAAGATAGTATCACATAGTTTGAAAATATAATTTAACAATTATATTGTCTGGTGCCTGGTGGGTTATTCATTGCTGGAGGTGGCTTATGGCATAAATTTTTTTGATAGAATTCATGATGTAAGAATCTGGTTTGATAGGATGTTCCTGGATCCTGAATCTTGCAACTTTACTAGCAGATGCTCCTTGAGGAAAGTATCCTCCCAAAAAAGCAAAATGGTTTGATAAGATGTTCCTGGATTCTGAATCTTGCAACTTTTTGAGAGGGGAAGTGCTGGATCATTTGTTTTGTGTTTATGGAGTAGACTAGTTGAGTGCTTGTGACTTGAAATTTTTTTATAAAAATCTTTAGGTTAGTCTTTTGAGTATAATTCTTCTTCACTTCTTGAAAAATATGTTGGAACAAAAGAATTAAAGACTGTTACCTAGTTTTGATCTTCTTTGAGGAGGTATGAATCTCTCAAGTGAAAACAGCAAAAAGAAAAATGGTTATTGTGTTGCCAGCATCTCCATAAAAGTGTCGGTGTGTGATGTGCTCAATGAAGATGTTTTCTCAAAAAAGATGAAATTGAAAACAAAATAGCCCAGTCTTGCTTTATATCTTTTTCTATACCCAATGTTGTTTTCAGCAGTTATAAACAAGAGAGGAGATTTACCGTTAGCTGAGCATGCAATTTTTTAAACATCAGTTCCTAGTATTCTACTAGCTTATATAGTGGACATTTCGAGAATTTGTTAACTATACAATCTGTGTATCTAGAACACCTTTGAGTCATCATGTATGCGTCTACATCTGATGAAACTATCGAATCGATGATTTACAGTTTCACATTAACTAATATATCCTCAAGTTAAAGGTGGAATTAAGATACTGAGGAGCAGTATCCGAGATTCCAATGAAAAGTCTTGAAGAACACTTTTGAAGTGATAGCTATTTGGGAAAAGGGCACACTATACTTGAAAAATGATTTTGATTGTAATGGATCATATATTGCTTACTATATGGTGACACGGATATCTTGTTTTGGATGCTACAGTTCATGACTGAGATGAAGGAGACTGCTTTTATTATGCAGAATGTCTCCCAAAGGTGACACACCATGTGTACTTTATGCCAAGGGATATGACATAAAATATCTGTTTCTTGAAATGTTACTTTTTCATAATTGCAGGAGTTTGATCATCATGGATGAACTTGGCAGAGCTACTTCTTCGTCTGATGGATTTGCAATCGCCTGGAGCTGCTGCGAGCATCTTTTGTCACTGAAAGCGTAATCACTTCTCACACTCACCTAATACCAAGCCTTTGGAGAGTTGCCAAAGATTATAATTGCATAAAATTTTAGCCATTCTAGCACCAAAAAGCACACATGCATGTCATATGATCATATATAATTCTAACATGCCCTTTTGCCTTAAGTCAAAGTTGTTATATGATATTAGCTCACTTTGGTTATTGGAATTCATTCAAGGTGTTTATGGTGTGCTACATGCATTTTGTAATCAATATTTCCATGGGGGTACATAGAGAGTGCCCATAAACCAGAGTAGAATATTACTCAAATCTTTGGTACGTAGTAAAGTTTTGCCCTGCTGCATGATTGTTAAGTAAATGATACAAGAGCTTTTGTGTTTTCCAGCTTAAAAATCGTCTTAGTTTGCATGGGATATGGCATGACATCGTTTTCTTTGATAGTGTGGATTTGTTCAGATTAAAGGCTTTGTAGAAGGAAAAAACTACTAGCATTATGTGGAGTTTAGTTAGGTGGAAGCTTACAGATAAATCAATTTTCTTTTACCATCTTTTCAGTTATTACTCTCTGTGTGGTTCCTACTACATGCCTCGTGCTGTTCCTGTCCTGTTTGTCATCTCCTAGATTTCTCTTTCAAAAAACTCTGCATAAGACAACAAGTATAGAACTTTAACTGAAGGAATTTGCTTACTTCCTGCTTCTTCTTCAGGTATACCATATTTGCTACTCACATGGAGAACCTATCAGAACTAGCAACCATCTATCCAAATGTCAGGATTGTTCACTTTCGTGTTGACATAAAAAGCAACCGTTTGGATTTCAAGGTTGTATCTCTATTTTCTTTTTAACCTGAATCTTACTTCAGCCATGTGTGTTCATTAACTGAAACTTTGATTGTGCAAGTAGTTTCAACTCAAGGACGGACCAAAACATGTACCACACTATGGCCTTCTACTAGCAGAGGTGGCTGGACTGCCGCGCTCAGTCATTGAAATGGCTAGAAGCATCACTCCAAAGATTACAGAAAAGGTGATTTCTCTCAAGCAACTCATTAAGGCTTCAAGTTTGATTTCAAGGAATATGTTAAATACAGTGTTGCAGTGATTAGTTCACAACTCTATAGTTTTAAGCACCTTAAAATGCATTGAAAGACGTAACAAATCAAAGCTCCAGGCGCACAAGTATAGGATATTTATAGTGCTGGAACCAGAAAATAACCAGTTTGCCAGTATAGGGAACTTATATACGAGTCAGAATTTATACAGAAGCAAGATTGAAGGCAGCAAAAAATTGTTCATTCAGAATTTTTGCTTCAACTCAACATAGTGACATACCTATTTCTAAGAAAAAGGTGCGTAACTTAATAATATGAAATAATAGTAGGCATAATGTGCATTTGGTTCTAACTATGGTCATACATAAGCAATGAGAACCACATCTCCTTAAACTGAATGCCACATGTAGAAAATCTTGGCAGTCTCAAAAAATGTTTTTGAATATGAAGAAACTTCACATCCACATAACAGGATGTTGGCAGACCTCGTACCTGTTTATTTTTATCGGTTTTGGCAAGGGCATCATTCTATCTCTGGATCTTGGGAAGGAGCCACATCCTTTTTCTTTTTCTTGGTACTGCACTGGCAAGGACATCATAGCTCAGGACACCATTTAACCTCCATTAATGAACAGACATCTTTAGGTGTACCTTGATCTTTCAGAAATTTCTGGAAGCAAATCTAGGAGCAGCAGCTTGGCAAGATGTTTATTTGGCTGTAAGCAATTCTAAGCAACTGCAGAGTTTCGTGGTATATCAATTGGATTATATGCATTTGATACAAAACCGTTCTGTGTCAATCACATTCATCATGACAGACTTATCATTCTGTCGTCACTGTTCTACTTGTTAACTAGCCATATAAATGTGCTATTCTGCCTACATGCCAGATCCTGAATAAATAATATCTACCAATACGTGCACAATTTTGTTCATTCTGATAGCATCTTAAAATTTTAATGTCCAGCAAACGAAGAAAATAGAAGTAAACTGCACGCAGTACCATCAACTGTATCGTGTAGCTCAGAGATTGATATGCTTAAAGCATTCCAATCAAGATGATGATTCAATCCGTCAAGCATTACAGAATCTCAAAGAGCAGTACATAAACGGAACTATCTAAAGCTTGTTGTAGGTTGCAAGTTGAAACACCCCTCCAGCATGTCCTAAATGGGTTCTTGTTATAGCAAATCTTTTAGACTAAAAATTAATGTTCCAAAATTGCCTTAGCTCGAGTGCAATGCCATCTGACAAATGATGTTCTCCTTGGTACTAACATGCTGACTCCTAGTTTCCATGTACCAATAATTTTCCACCTATTTTTTGCACCGGGAAAAAGTAAACAAGCCAGGTAAGAAAGGAAATTTAGATACACGAACAAGACGCATTATTCGGTTTTAGAGTTAAAGATGAATACAGATTTATCATACAAATTTATTACTGCAAAGAAGTATGAAACACCCTTTCAAAAGCCTAGTGATGGACCAAAAAGCAAGGCCAGCAGGATGAATTTTTGAAACAGGTAATGTTATCAAACGCTACATAACAAAGGTGGAGCGACTTAGGAAGGATAATGTAAATGCAAATTAGGACAAAGTGTTTCAAAAACGGGAAATTATAACTTAATAATGTTATCAGATCACATGCATAAACACGCTGCAAGTTTCTAATATCCAAAACTTTGAACTCCATGACTACAATGTCCTCTGAAACAATCGAACAAGGGACAACATAAAAGCAAACATCATTAAACTCAGCGGTAACGACGAAGGGAAAGGGTGTTGTTTCTCTTCCAGTTTGCCCGGCGAGAAGGTCGAGCTTTATGGTGCAAGTGTCCCCTGCCACGTAGACCCCTGTATTTCTTCCCAGCAGAGGTAAGGCCACGGAGCTCCCTGTGCTTGTGAACAGGGTTGCAGAGCCAGTTGATTCTTGGGTCATTGCGGATGGCATTGTGGGCAACATCAACCAAGATTACCTCAAAGTACTTGTAAGTAGAATCCTGTGTTGAAGAAAATTATTTACTAATGCAAGTAAATGAATGACAGTGATGTAGTACAACTTTTAGGTAGCCAGACTAAGAGATGAGGCAAAATAGTGACAAATAAAATAAGACAGAGACGCACATTCAAACTTAGCTGACTAACCTCATTAATCCAGTATGAGTTAAGAACTCTGAGGCCCCCCAATCTCCGGCCAGCACGCTCCTCTGCCACAGACCTCTTGCTTCGTTGAAACTTCAGTTGAGTAACACCCTGGTTTGTAGGCTTACCATATACAATACCCTTGGGAACAGGCCTCTTCCTACCACCCCGCCTAACACGGATACGATAAACAACATAGCCCTAAAAGAAACAAAATAGTTTCAGTACCCATGCAGATGTGCAGAACAATAGACAATTGTTCGTTGCCATGCACACTTCAAACACAAAAAATTAAGATGAAGGGAGGAAACAAGGATAAGAATAGCAACTCTAACAGCTTCAATTAACAATGGTATTATCGATCTCCATTTTTATAACCTTCAATGTTATAAACAATCACCTAGCTATAAAAATCACAAACTCCTAGTGTTTTTTGAGAAGATAAACGGAAAGTTTGAAAAGAACAGGTCAAGCAAAAATCCAACTTACTAATTTAAAATCCAAACAATTTCTTGCCATTAGACTAGGAGATCAAATTCAGGACATCAATAACAGCAAAAGAACTGTATCAGATCGAGACAAAAATGAACTCAACAAAGCAAGAGCCCATTTGGTCAGATGATCTGTCATTCTGATATTGCTGGTATTAGTAAGCATGCCATCATTGTACATAAGCATCCTCCCAGAGAAGAATGAATACACAGACAGTGTTTAACCAGCAAGAATCACACAATGCAAACGAGAAACAACATTGTTCTGCAATGAGCACAGGCTGATTACGTCTATCAACAGTGGCACAGAACTACACACATCAGCAAAACCTAACTACACCCTCTAAAATTAATGCCATAGCTGTCATAAACAAACTGGGAAATTTAACAAGAAACAAAAAGTAGAACTATTAAACAAAAAAATACTTCTTGCATTACACATTCCATCTGAAAGGACTCGAAAAGTTATCCACGAAAAAAGGGCGTTTTAAACTCAATCAGTTAACAAAATCTAACGATAAAGAATACTTATAGAGTTTACATGTAACTGAAGCTCAAAACCTAGCAAGCAAAAGCCAACAACAGAAATAGCAGTAATTAATCTAAATGAGATCTCAAACACATGATCCATACTAAACATGGCAATCAAAGTGTTACCTGCTTGGCCTTATAGCCCAAGCGGCGAGCCTTGTCAGGGCGTGTAGGATGCGTGACCCGAACAATAGAAGGATGCTGGCGGTACTCCCAACACCTAACCCTTTGCAAAAACCTCATCACATCTGATTGCTTCTTCCTCCATAGCTCAGATACGTACTTGTAAGCCCCTATTTTCACCAAACCCACAAAATAAAAAAACTTAAAACTCTTCACAACATACTTGAACTTTTTCAATAGCACAAAAACTTAAGTTCTCTGATCCCTGTGAAAATGAATTTGCAAGAAATGTATGTAACACACTTCTCAAAAAAAATTTCTTTGTTGTAACAAAACTAGATAGAGAAAAACATTAGAGGGCTACAAACCAAAAAAAAAAAAAAAAGGAATTCTAAAACCAGCTTTAGGTAGTACCTTCAAAAGTAGTAAAGTTAACAGATCAACATAAAAGAAACAAAAGATAGATTTGAAATATGAATTCAGTGGACAGAGAGAGAGAGAGAGATACCCATTGGATCAGAGCAGCAACGATGCCTGGCTGGTGACTAGGGTTTTTAGTTTGCCAGATAAAAATAGAGAAGGTTGGGTCAGTGAAGAAATAAAACCCTAGCAAAAACTAGAGAGACGTTATCTTGGCCGTTCATTTCTTTGTTAGACGTGGCATCTTATAGGAGCGTTACTAGTGCGGACCCTTGAAGTTCTTTTCCTTTTCGTTAGGTGCTCGGGCTAAGAGAATATGGGCCAGGCCCAATAAGGATTAGTGGTGTAACTCCAAAGTTCCAAACACATAACCCCTTGCAAAAATCTTATTCTAACTTTTTTGTTTTCATTCCCACTCCCCGTATCCGTATGCCGCAGTCAAGCACGACTTATAAGTGGGCTGTTATGGTTCTACCCATAATGGGCTTGTGCCAACGGGTGGATAGGCACAGTAGACCCAGATCATGTTTTGATGTAACAAGATTATTTTCAAAACAAATTTTGCTTATATTGAAAAGAAAAAACATATATATATATATATTGTGTGTGTGACTTCGTTGTTTGATTTTTTTTTAGCTCGAAAGTCACAAATCTTTAAACCAAAAGCATACAAATAATAAGACAAAACACACATATAATTTGTCAATGATTTATTGAGGTAGTTAGGGTACTTATATTTACTTTAATTTAAATTAAAAAATAAATATATTTTTTTATAAGATATCCAAAACATATTTTTAACTAAAAGCCATTCTTTATCAATTAGAAAAATGAGACTTTTTTTTCCCTGCAAAAGCTATCCTCTACAAATTTAAAAGTACTTTGTTACTTACTATTTATTATCTTTTCCATCTACTACCATTCGCTTCCTATGTTAAACTACTTCATTGTATTCTTTCTCTTTTTTTCCTCTCTTCGTATTAAATTTCTTAATTGCAATTTATGTGCTATATATAATCCTTTGTTTAATTCTAAAAACTAAGCATTGATTTATGCATGACACTATACAACATGTTAACCCCGTGTATCATTGATATTTAGTAATGTCAACCCCCGTATCAAATTGAACATTTTACCACTAATTCAAGGGGATTTGGGCCCCTTTGGCTTTTGTCCAACTTTATTAATGATTGATAGTGTGTCATACCGTTAACAAATTAGATAATTTATAATGTCCTTATTGAGCTTAATCACAATAGTGTAATTAGGGTGAGTAAGAGTCGAACCCATCATGAGCGAGTTTAATTGATAGTTTCTTTCAATTGATTGTTCTTGTAGTGTGAA